GCAGGCCCAGACCTAGCCCGAGGCGATCTCCGTTCTGGGAACCGATAGAGTCCTGGCAACAACCATCAGAGCGGATAACCAGAATACAGCAAACCATGCATACTCTCCCCTCGTTTCCAACATCAGCACTACCGATTTCCGTCCGCTGGGCCAAGAGGGAGAGAACTTCTTCCAAGCAAGCGGATGTCGTGAGGGGAAACCGCAGATCGACACCCGACGCCAACGGCGGATGACCTGCATCCGAGACAGCGCAGAAAGTCCCTGGACTTGGAGACAACCGATTCAGCTGAGCCGAAGAGGCTGGTGTTGATAGCGACACAAGTCCAGAAGCAAGGGAGGTAGACGATGACAAGGAGACGGAGAGCATGACGGAGAGAGACAGGATGCGGGTCTAAGGATAGGAGCATCCGCGGGACAATTGAGGCGTGGATCCGCGTTTGTGATCGGGATACGCCGGAGCAGAGGGGACAGGGTTCGCAGACGGTAGTCCCTAGAGAATTTGCACATTGGCTAGGCTGGCGATGAACAAATGAGCAAGTTTGCGCGACGGATCGCAAGTGGCTTACTGAGAGTGGAACTCTCACAGGCCCTCTTTCATCCTCCGGCGTCACTGTAACCTCATCTGTAGGATCTAGATACCCAGGAGTCGCGCCGACTTTCGTCGGGCGGACGAAAAACGTAACGTTCGCAAAGCCATCGCAGCGGTCATGGTGGTGTGGAGTAAGGTGCAAAGTGTATCGGCGCCTTCGGCCGACGTCTTTTTCTTTGACTTGCTTTCAGTCCTGCTTCAAAATGCCTCTACTGGAGGGCAGAGCGTATTCTGAACATCTATCAGGCAGCCCTAGCACTCTGGCATCCCTTCTGGCTCCTCGAGGCTCTTATAAAAGATGGCCGCAGCATGGGACCCCATTTTCAATCGAACAGTATCTTAGATGGGCGCAGGCGAAGAGATTGCTTGAACTCGACTGGCTTGTTCCGCTAGTCCTTCGGTGCTCTCGTATACATATCCCTCCTTTCGGTACTGTCGATTGGCGCAACAGTGGTCCGACCTCACGCTGAATCCATAGACGCTCACGGACGGACCATTTGTCTCGTGAACGAGGAGATCTTTCATGTCTGTTTCACTCATCTTACTTTCACTCGAAAACCCTTCGGAAAATTCGACGAAAACTCTGCAAGATCGATAAATCTCTCGCCCCAAATCGACATCTGATACTTATGCCGTTCACACATCCTCATTGGCAAGCGCTTGGCATGTTCGTGTCTGTCAACTTAGGCCGATTTGAGCAAGCTCTGCAACTAGAATTCAAAAGACGATACGGCTTAAACGCAGTTGCGCGCTAGAAGCCACAAGTCGTATTTCAAGAGCGGAATCTCTGCACGTGGCAAGATTGTGCGCCAGATTTGATGGGTTGATCGGATCATCAGTCAGACCCAGATGGCCAGAAACAGTGAACAATGGAAAAGGAGACCGGTTCGGGGTCACGTGAAAAGGAGGCGCTGCTCTGTTGATTGGGGTCCAACGCTGCTTGTACTCAATCCCTCACGACTCCCATTCACAACATCTCCCCCGAGCACACAAAATAATTGTCAATGGCCAACACTCGTCAATCCGTCGCGGATATCCTGCACGACATCGCCGATGCGATTCAGAATCCCTCGGCGCCTGAGCTTGGTGAGCTGCTACTAAATCGTCACATACAAATTCTGACCGATGGTGACTTACAGCGATCTCTGTAGAGGCTCCTAGCGAGTTCTCGTTTGTACAGATGGGATCCCTCGACTTGCCGGGCGTCGCGGCCGACCACCTTTCCCAAGGCACCGGGGTGGCATTTCACCCACACCCGGCTGCTCAGATCGGGGAAGGTAGCGCCGCGATGTCTGTGGGCTCTTCCGATGCCGCATGGACTGGAGCGGGGGGCGAGCCGCCTGCCCCGGGTGGCGTTGCCCCGGGGCGCGGCTTCCGGATCCCCGTCGAGCTCAGTGTGAGGATCGCAGCGAACTGGGCGGACTGGGTTGAACGAGCGAGGAACGAGGGGATCAACGAGTATACCTGGCCCCGCGAACTCGATGAAAACGAGCATCCTGCACAGCCAATCGACGAGGACGAGGAGGAGAACTTGATGGTTTTCGACCTGCCGGGCACGCTGCCTTCCGTGTCCTCCGAGTCCAGTCTCTTTACCCCCCGAGTCGTCGGTTTTATGGATCCGGACAGCGATCCGATCGTGCTCCCCGAGGATGCTCGTCGCGCCATCGGTCTCGACACTCTTGCTGAGGACGCGGTGTTCCACACGACCGGGCGTGCGACCGACAATCTCGTTTTCGAGGACCACTTCACTTTCAGCCAAATCGGGAATCTCTCCAGTGGGCGACTTGATGGTCAGGCTGGCTCCCAGCATGTGCTGGGAGGTGCAGGAGGATGCGACGCAGAGTCGATGAGCGATGCGGGTCCGTGGGTCACATCTCACCAAGGGTTCGTCCTTCTTATGTACCATCCCTGGATTCGATCTAACCATTCTGGTAGCCCGTCTCAATTTGTGTTCACGCCCAACAACGGCCTCATCCGTCAACTCAGTTCCCCGATCACGGGGTCGCGTGCCAAGTACGTCATCGCTCCCATGTTTCTGATCTCTTGTTCATCGCGCAATAGATCTGCTAGCGGAGAGGCGCAAAACGAGTCTCCTTTCCCTTCTCCGAATCAGCGCCCGATTGCAGGCCCCCGCCGTCTCCGCACTTTTTCATCTGGTGCTTGGATCCAGACTGTTTCATCGGGAATCGAATGCGCGCAGGACGCGGCCGAGAAGATCATCGCGCACAAGCACAAGCTGGAGTCTGACCCCGCTGAGGATGGCGCCGAGTAAGTATTTGATTTCTAGTCTTCTTCTGTGCTCTCTCACTGACAAGTCGCAGGCGCGATGTCAAGCGTGCTAAGCTCCTTTGATCATATACATCTTAGCATCGATGTTTCTACCACTCATGTTCTCTCTCTCTACTCACTTATGTATATGTAACGAAGAGCAAGTCATATGAATTACAATCGCATCCACAAGTCTGCAGGTTCTTCGCCAATACACGCCGAGCGGTTGCTCTTAGGGTATCAAATGGCATAAAGATCAAACACCAGGAAATGATACATGCAATATCCATGCAAAGCCCATCTCCGGGATTCAAACTCTTCAAAAGCTCTGCATAAGCGTGATCTGGACAGTCTACGACAGGAACTTCTCGACCAAGACAAGGATTCCGAGCAGCTTGCTTTGATTGAGAGCGCCAATGCTGGATTCTATATGCTGTCCAATGTTCTGTAGTTACCCAATGGATGTCCAAACTTCGGCTGATATGCCAGCACGTTCCCTGAATGCACCCCAAAACCCCAATATCCCCAAGTCCCGGAATCTGTCTCTTCACCGATATCCCCAATATCCCCAAGTCCCAGAATCTATCTCTTCACCGATCTAGTGAGTGCCGAAGACGACATTGCAAGCGCATGCGACATCGCAGGTCAGGAAACCTGCTGTCAAGGAAGCTGTTCAACGATTTCGTCGCGGCGATCAGCTGCTGCTCGGCCCATGCAGTGACTGAATTGTCGGTGGCCAGCGGCCGGTCGACGAGCGTGATATCGGCGAGCAGCAGAGCTTTTGCCGGCCGTATCATCCGGGCGAGAGCGCACGCAATCTACGTGCTGTCGATCAGCAACCGCTCGCCAGTACATTATGAGCGCGGAGATGCACGCACCTGCCGCATAGAGTCGCGGTCGATCCGGAAATGCTCGAGCGAGATGCTCAGCTGCAGGGTCGTCAGAGAGGGTAGTCGCTCCTGCACGTCGAACGGCGCGCTGCAAAACGCCTTGGCCTTGATCGTGAGACGGAGGAATTGGAGCGACCGCATGTCCAGCGTTTCCATCATCTTTTGGAACGTGCGGCACTCGCTGCTCACGACTAATCTGACGGGGCGGGGAAGCCCGTCGTCCCCTGCGCGGCGAGCGCATAGCAGCAGAGGGAGACACGCTTCCGGCACATGCAGAGATTCAAGGCCCGAGAACAGTGCCCATCGGGTGTCGTTGCTGTCTCGGAACCACACGACGCTCCCGCTCAGCACCAGTTGCTGCACGTTGGGGAACATGTGCGCCAGGTCCTCCAGAACCCGGGGCGAGTTCCAGCGGCACTCAATCCTCAGGGAGGTGACTGCGAGGAAGCGCAAGCGGCGGATGCCAGACCCGAGAACGACTTGGCTGTCGAAATACAGCTCCAGCGCACGCAGACGTGACGGATCGAGCATGTCTAGAAGACTGAGATGGGAGGGTAAGCAGAGATGCGCAGCGGCGGCAGAAGACTCTTTATCGCGGGGATCCCGCACGCGGAGATGCAGTCGTTCGAGAGATATCATCGACGTATCGGCACTATCAAGTGTGGGCGGCACGACACGGCCGCCCCATATCAACAGCTCTTTCACTCCGATCTGTTCCAATCCCAGCCGCGCAATGTCGATCTGGGCATCCTGCATATCGAGCCGCATGAAAAGCTGCCGAAGACCACAGAAGCTCCGGAGGGTCCGCAGAAGTGCCACGACAAGCGGATTGCCGCTGTCAGGCGACACGACGAGCGTGCTGCGGTGCGACTGGACCAGGAGGGAGTTGACGAAGTGGATGTCGACTTTTTGGACATACGGCGCAATGTCGCCGCGCTGCAGGCCTGCGAGGCGGGGGAGGAGCGTCGACTCCTTCCACGACGTGAATCCGAAGTGGATCGTGCGGAAGACGAGCGGATGGGTGAGGGCGTGGAACGGCCATGAGAGCAGATTGGCAGAGAGCAGATCTGATCGCTCGAGTTCCTCGAAGACGCTGGCCCACAACTCGGGCGGGAGCCTCAGGTGTGGGGGCATGGCCTTGGCGAGGGAGTGCGGGGACGGTGATGCGCGGCGATCACCATTTTGTTGATGGCTATCACGTTCTGCTCACCACAAACACTCACTAAACAGACAACTTACATGCTCGTGCGAATGGGAAACTTCTCGAATCCATACCGCACCTCTTTGCTTCGGAACCACCCAAAAGTGGGACTCTCGAGTACCAATGACGACTCCAAGTGCTACGGGATGAACCAAAGACTTTCAAAGACGAGCTCGAGCGAATCCCTTTCCTTATTCTCAAGCCATCACGGAACCTGGCGCTCGAGGTACTCCAGCACAATATGCGTAACATTTGCTGGGGCGGCAACAGACTCTGCATGCTTTCCAAGTCGAAGGAAGCGGAAGGGACGCCGCTCGAGAGCCCAGTGGTGTATTGTGAGTGGCGAGAGATTGTGCCTTCCCCTCTAGCGCACGGTCTTGAGGCACATATCAGCATCTTCCCTTCCAGCGGTCAATCAAAGACTTCGGGATGCTGTGGCTTTGCCCGTCGAAAGCGGTGCTCTGAGCAACTTCCCCGGGCGTCGACAACATCACACTGTCGGGTTCCTCTTGACACTATCTTGCCCACCCTCCAGAGTCCCTGTCTTTCGTGCTACGCATTCCCGGGATTCTCAATTCATACGGTAGGTCCTACGGGCCCTCGAAACTATGATCCGCGAAAGTCTAGGACCAAGCACGGACCTCGCTCACTCTTTCCTGGGACTAGTTGAGCACTACTTAACTCGACATGCGTCCTGACCCTGGTGGATCGACCGTTTTCCTGGTCATCGAGCAAATGATTCACCCAGTCACGCATTAGCTGGGTCGTCATGCGTCGCCTTATCTCAAGGAAACCTAGCCTTCACTTTGACTACAGGGTCACTAGTTCCGCGAACCAGATGCTTTCCATGTTGGTGCTTATCCCTTGACCAAAGCGGAACTGGGGCATTTGAGAGAAGAAAGTTCTAGGAGCTCTTTCACTTCTGTGGCCGTTAGCAGTGCACTACCACGGCGCTCGATACAGAGGCATCTCACTGTACTCCGATGATGAGTGCGTCCACAACTTTCTAGACCCCCACCAGCTCAGTGTCTGCACCGAAGAAAGCCAGGGAACCACTCCAGAGTCTCGCATTCTCGACATTGCACAGCAGGATCGCATGCTGTAAGACTGGGCTTATAAATGAAGATCCGCATGAAAAGCACGATGATTCGTACCGCAACCACCCTCGAGTTCTTGACAGGTGGCAAGATCTTGCACTCAGTGATCGGGATGGCAACTCGGAAAGCATAGCCGAGCTGGAACACGGCTTCTGGAATCGCACCCTCAATAAGTTACCGGCGCGAGGATAGCAGATCTTAGGGATGAAATGATGAAATAGGCCCTTGACTGGTTCCCGTTCACTTCTCATGCTCCCCGTCCCCTCTCATGTTGGCACGGTGGATCAATTCTACAGCAGCGATTTGGAGGAGAGAATACCTGACTTGAATGTAGCGATGTCAATGACAGAAGCCCACGTTCTCCGGCTTGCACATCAATTTCCACTAGGAATACATTACGATATCTCCTCTCGACGTGCAAGAAAGAGGGACGTTTCTCGAGGGCACTCTCTATGCGTTTGAGACGGCGGAGCGCCCGTGGAGTCTTGAGTCTGACTCTGGAATTATATGTTCTTGCTGTTCTGCCAGAACTTCGATTTTGTTTGCACGCCATTTCTACGGATTGCAGAACTATCGCTGTACATTCGGCGCATCTTCTCTCGGGTCGTGGATTCTCGTAGAAACGCCGCTGGGATTTGGATGGAAAATCCCATGCGAACCTGCCCTGGAAGATCTCGGTCCCCGCGCGCTCGATTCACGTTGACGCCTCTTGCATAGATGATTCTCTTGGCGACGGACATTGTATCGTATCCGGGAAATTCCCGTGTGTATGTGCGGTGTGGGGTCTTCCTCTACTCACACACGCTGCCCAGATAGCTGCTATAAATCTGAGCGACGACGGGGCAGATACCGTACAATGGTCGCAGGCAATATGTCCAACATCCTTCTCCAAGATGGAGCGGGTACGATCACTGGGGCCAATAAAGGACTTGGATAGAGGCAGAGGTGAGCGTCCTCTGAGCAGAATGTCTGATCAAAATCCAAGATTTAGACATTCACGGCTCAGTCAGAGCACTATCAAGCTGCGAAGTTACATCGTCCCGTGAGCACCTCAGTTACCACCGCCATCACCCGGTTGCACCCCCGCGGGGGTCCTCCTGGGTACCCTCAGACGTAGCTCTGAGGGTACCTAAAAGGTACCCCCCTGCGGGGCCCGCGGGGGGGATTTGGTCCATTTGGGGGCGGGGGCATATGCGGGGGTCAGCAGGGGGGGGTGAACGAAAATATATACATGTGACTTGTCTACATCTGTAAGAGCGGGTAGCTGGGCGGGAAAAAAAAATCAATCACGTGGAAGCACCGAGCGGGCGGGATGGCGGGCGAAAAAAGCACGTGACAGATGGAACCAAAAATTTTAAAACGCTGGCGGGGGCTGGCGGGGGTGCGGGCGGGGTCATTACCGACCTCCCGCATGCCACGGCGGGTGGCGGGCGCATATTCACGTGACTTCATCCCGGCCATTTTGCCACCATTTGGTCGGGTTTTTGCATGCTCTCCACGATGGCGCACAATGCAGCGGATGGCAGCCAAAACGGTCACGTGACTGGGCGCAAAAAAAAACCAAATGGCTGCCGGAAAAAATTCCGATGCTATCCCAATTGTGTCTAGCTTCGATAATTAAGAAAGTGAAGCGCTGAGCGCAAAATGCCCGCCGCACTGCGGTAATGATGGGAATGTTCCCATCATTTTGCGGGGTCACCCGTGCGGTTGATCAGTTCCATGTTTAACCACTCGTGGTATTCGTTGCATTGTAGCCGCCTTTTTGAGGAAAAACAACAGCTTTTACAGAGTGTACTACTCTGCTCCCTGAGAAGCTCTGCACTGTGTAACTCTGCCTCACGCCGGGGATTATGATGTTGATCACAGAAAGAAATTCAAATAACCAGGGTAAAATAATCCTAGTGGTATTTCCACATGATTCAGGGCTCTGTATCATGGAATCCCAAAATTTTAGACCATTCAACTTGTCCTAAATCGCCCTTGACTATGAGTTTGGTGTTGTACACAATCTGTTGTTGTTGTGGGGTGCACGCGGGGGTGCACGCGGGGGTGCGTGCGGGGGTGCGCGCGGGGGTGCGTGCGGGGGTAAGCGCTGGGCTGCTCCTAGTAATCTGCTGGCCTGGCTTGCTCTAGAAGCGTGAAGAGGACGGTTATGGAAATTTTCTTTGACAAACAGCGTTACACCACTTCGGTCTGGAATGAGAGCTCCCAATGAAACTGTTCACTGTCAGGGACTGGTAGGGGTCAGTGAAAGCTTGCATGATTGAACTCCGTGCACTGAATACTGCTGATTGACATTTGAGAGAATTAAAGGCCCCTCAAGTTCGATGAATGTTGAGGGAGGTGTGGAAGCATGAACAGTATGTTTTTGGGTGGGGTCAGAAGGCACTACTATTCAAGCATTCATTACCTGACCATGTAATGGTGCAACTCAGCTTCTGAAAATCCATCCCTTAAAATTCCATAGCCAGAAGAGGGGGGGGGGGCAGATCGATGTCGTGTATGAAAGATGTACAACAGGACGTTGTAAAAAAATATGTCGAAACTAATATACGGATGAATGTATGCAGATAAACCCCACGATCAAGAAAGGACATGCAAAATTGAACGTAACACCTTCATTTTTTCGCGAGCTCCTCCTGGACTGCGCTGCGAATAGCACCTGCCATCATTGCTTGGAAGGACGGGGCAGAGAAAAAGCTAAGCAGAGCGGTGGCGGGATCAGTCACTTGAGCAGCGGCGGCAGTCTCGGTCGATCCAGTCGCTGCCGTGGAAGTCGACGCTGTGGGTGCAGCAGCAGTGGCCGCGGGGGTATCGGCGGAGGTGTCGACGGGGGGTGCCGCGGGGGGTGCCGCGGGGGGTGCCGCGGGGGGTGCCGCGGGGGGTGCTGAAGAGGGTGCCGCCGTTCCTACGTTGGCTGGCGTCAACTGTGACACCAACGTCGGAGCTTGAGCTGAAACAACAGCCCCTTGCTTCTTGGTGGCAGCGCGAGGCGCCCGCGCAGCAGGGGGATCGTCCAGCGTTTGCTGTGAGCTGCTGGCAACTGCATTGACTTGGCGGGGGCGAGGGCGGGGGCGAGGGCGTTTCTGTGGGGGTGTCTTTGCCACTTCCTCCTCACTCTCAGGGGAAGAGAGCTCGGGGGACGGCGCGTTCATCTCTTGATAGCGACGCTTGTTCTGTCGCGGCAGCTTGCGCGTCAGAACTACTGGAAATGATTTAGATCTGCGCTTCTCTTTGGGGAGAATGAAGCCGAGGGGAAGATTGTCATGTCCATATAGGGTAGCGAGGTACTGACCGGCAGGACCTTCCTTTTGAGCATCCGATGTCTCCGAGAGAGCAGACGCAGTTGGGACGTATTCCGAGGCCGGTGTCGACTCCTGACGCTGCTTGCCTCCACCAACTTGGTGCGACGGTTGAGGTGGGGCAGCAGTGCTGGCCTTGGCACGCTTCGGATTGCGACGGGGAGCGGGAATGTCCACGGGATCAGCCTTGCGCTTCTTCCCACTGGCCTTGTTGACAGCAGGCGGGGGTAAGGCAGGCTGCGGCATGGGAGACGACGCTGCGTCAGTGACGGGAGGTGCGGCGGGGGGCGCGGCGGGGGGCGCGGCGGGGGGTGCAGCAAGGGGTGCAGCGAGGGGTGCGGCGGGGGTTGCGGCGGGGGGTGCGGCGGGGAGGTGACCACGGCGCTTGCGCGTTGGTGAGCTCAATACGACAGGAGCAGCCCCAGGTGCATGCAAAGCCGGTTGGGAGACCACAGGAAGAGCGTAGTCCCCAGCTTCGTTCTTCACCACGATGCTGAAGTCCAAGTATCGTCGCGTTGGGTCTGGGTCCAAGAGGTTCAGCCTGAAGTAGCACGGGTCCCCCTGTCCAGTCACCCCGAGGACGAACTCGGAACCACTGAAAGCAATGGTTGTTCCAACGCGCTGGGGGAACGCAGCGAGCACGGGCATTCCTGGAATGAAGGTCAATTCGTGCCAAAAGGTGTTTATCAGGAAGCGCTCACGGGGATCGCGGCAGTCGTTGCCAAAAAAGGAAATACCCGCTGGCTCGCGCCCCTCGAAGACCTTGTTCAGGGAGAACTTGATGGCGGCCGCCAGTGAGCTCTGTTGCGATGCCGGCAACGAGCGAATGCCCTTGTCTGCGTGTCCGAGCTTCGTCGGAAGGGGAAGAAGATGGGGCCATCCGAGGACCATGTACCCTGCCTTGAAAAGCGCCGGACCGGCGGTCTTCCATGGGAACGTCCTTTGGCTCATGCTTGTCAACGTACCAAGCGGTTCGCTCCCGACTTGAGCCATTGACAACGCGCTCAGGTCGTCAAGGAGGTTGTCCCACAAGCGGTTCACCTTCATCGTCCGTTTTGAGCGCAAGGTGGAAGGACCGTCCAAAGCATCCAAGATGTTCTGGATGCCCTCCTCAACCTCCCGCTGCGACATCGGAGCCGTCTCCAGCGGCTGAAGGGGGTGACGTGGGGGAGCCCGTGCCCGCAACTGAGCCAGGGAGTCAGCAGGAGACGAGGGAACAGTGGTGCGCGCAGAGGCACGGGTGGGGGTGTCGGCGGGGGCGCGGGCGGGGGTGCGAGCGGGGGCGCGGACGGGGGTGCGAACGGGGGTGATGGTGGGAGCACGTGCAGGGCTTGAGGTGGGGTCGTCCGCCCCGGTGGCATCTGGACCGTCTTCGCCTTCGAGCAGAGCGTCGCGTGCC